GGTGGTGCTGGAAGCTAAGAAATGACACCCCGCCGGTGCGCAGCAGAGGCCGCGGCTTGGGGACAGCAGAGAAGAGTTCTTACACCTGGGTGTCCTCCCTGAGCTGCCTCGGGGCCCACGGGCTTGTGTATACATGTGGTGCCCGTTTTGTCTGAATGGGAGCCACGGGCTCCTCCTCCCGAACAGGTGAGAGGCAGGCCCCGTGTGTCGGGCGGGGGTCTCCTGGTCCAGGGGAGGGCCCCACGAGAGCTTGCCCCCGGCCCGCAGCCCCCTCCCCGTGGACAGAACCTCCTGGTGGGTCAGGAAGTTTCCGGAGGCCGAGCTGGCCGAGCGGAAGCCGTGGGGACCAGCAGAACCGATTCTGCGTCCTTTCTTCTGAGTCTTAAAAATACTCAGCGGTGAGAGAACGAGAGAGAACCCAGAAGCGCCCTGTGTCCGAGGCCACTGGGCGGCGGGTGGGCGGTGCGTGCAGGTGCCGGCTCTGGGGCCCCAGAGGCGAGTGACACCAGCCTCGCGCCCTGAAGAGAGGCGGCTCCGCATCAGGGGCCACGGGGCTGCTCCCAGCATCCTGGCGCATCCCCGCCATGCGGGTCCTCGCCACGGGGACCCCTCCGGCCCCAGCCCTGCTGCCCTCCGCTGCTCTCTCCTCCCCCCGCAAGCCCGGCGGGGGCCCGGAGCGGCGACCGGTCAGAGGTGGGCAGCCGTGTCCACCCCCAAGGCCCGGGCCCGTCCGTCTGTCCGCCCCCCCCCCCCTACCGGGCTGCCCGGCGCTCCACCATCTGTCCACCCGGGGCTCGTGGGGAGTCCTGGGCCCAGCCCACAACCTGTGCGCAAAGAAGGGGAGAAAGACCCAGACCCACCAGGGGCGCCCTCAGGGACCAGGGCACCGCAGGGCCCTGCAGGGGAAGGCCCGGGTCACCGGGCACAGCGGACGGGCCCCCAGAACACAGCCGCACCTCCTCACCCCGTCCGCACTCAGCTAGGCCACCGGCAGGTCTGGGCCCCTGCCCTCGGCAGAGCCCGGACAGGGTCCCGGCCAGAACCCCAAGGCTCCGAGAGCGGGGCCCCCGTCCTGCCAGGGCCCCGAAACGCTGTCCTGCAAGCCAGGCGTGTGCGACAGCAGATTCGACCCTCGGTTCTGGGGGCCTCGTGTCAGAGGCCAAAGTGCCCGGGGCCGTGTTCCCGGGGCGTTCTTGGGCCCATGGCTCCAATCTCTGCCCCCGTAGGCGAGGACACCTGGTAGACGTGAGTTTGCGGGGACACCGCCCAGCCCAGGACAGTGGGGTGACCGCTGGAGGCCGGAACGGTGTCGGTGACGTAACAGCCGCGTGCCGTCCGCCGAGGTTGCTCCTTCCGCCTCTACCCGAAGGCGCCAGGGTCTCAGCAGCCGAGCAGAAAGGTGGTTTCGGTTGTACGACTAGTAATTGTGTGTCCTCAGGCGCTGTGCCCGGCCCCCTGCCCTGGCCCCCGGCGGACACGTTCCTGAGAAAAGGGAAAACCTGCAAGTTGGTGTCAAGTCACAAGCTGTCGAGAGTTAGTGGTGGGGTCTGAGTAATGCCAGGGCGCCGGGCAGCCCCTGGGGGTCACGGGGCAGCCCCTGGGGGGCACCGTCCACACACACATGACCTGGACTTGGCCTCGGGCGTCTTTCTGTCTTGAGCGGCGCTGTCTCTCTTCTCTGTGACTCGGTTTCTCCTGGTGGCTCCCAAGCGAGTGGCCGTGACCCAAGAGACTGGGGACAAGCAGGGTTCTCTGAGCATCTGGACACTGTTACCATGGGAGCAGCTTTGGGTTCTCACACCGGAGAAGTGGACGCTGCATTCTTACTGTTTTCCTCAGATTAGAGCCGAGAAGGGGCCACACCATCAAACCCGCAGCACGGACCTTACCTTGTCTGGGGTCCCCTAAGCGGAGCGAGGACGCCTCCGGCCCGCGAGCCCTGGGGGGGGGTCATCACTTCCGCCTGGGAGGTGCCAACGGCCTCCTCGGTCCGGAACAAAGCAGCCAGCTCCCCGCTCCCTGGCACACCTGTTCCCGTCCAAGCATCCTGCGTTTAGGGCAGGTTCCGTGGAGAAGATTAGCTTGTCGCAAGGAGGACTCACACCATTACCTTCCAATTATGCGTCCAACTCCGACGTCCCTCTGATGTGCTTTTAATTGTCTGTATTTCTCTGTCGTTCTCTAAACGGTCCATTTGTGGTCCCAAGTTGGGAAGCTGACGTTCCCCGCCTGTAGGGGCTCGGGGAGAGCAGTGCCCCTCTTCCAAATTAAAGTGGTTATTGATAAATCCACACGGTACATCTGGCTCCGTTACCCGGACGAGCCGCCGGGAGGACGAGCCCTGTCCTCCCGGCCCCCACGTCCAGCCTCCCTCCCACGAGGACCCTGAATGCACTGAGCCCACCTGGAACCCGGCACTGTCCCAGCTCAGAGTCCTTTGTCGCTTCTGCCACGAGAGACGACAGGCCCCGGGTTCCTGGGACGAGGGCTGGACGCCTGCGGGGCCGTCGTGACCGGGGCGGAGGCCCGTGCACGCGATGGCTTCCTTGGGCGTGCCAGGAGCAGGACGCCACCCCGGCACGTCGGGGGCCGGCCCTGGCACCCCAGCTGGGTTGCCCGGCTCTGCCTGCCCCTCGGACACCAGCCAGGGCTCTGTGTCCGCTCCGCTCTCACCTGCAGGGGCACCGTCTCAGGAGATACGAGCACTTCCCACAGGGCGTCCCCCGCGGGTGCTGGGGCCTCCTGCCAGCTCAGAGGACACTCCAGGTTGGCCACCTGGCGCCCCCGAGGTGCTGCATCAGCCGCGCGGCAGGGATGTGGACGCCGGGACAGAAGCCACCCGGAGAAAGGGGTGGGGCGGTAGAGCGACGGGAACCCGCCGTCCAGGGCCCTGCTGTCCCTGGGAAGAAGCTGGCGCCCAGGCGGCCCCCTGAGCATGGCGCCCGCGAGGGGGAAAGAGGCCGGGAGCCCTCGAGGTCCCTGCTCTCACTCCCTTGCTCTGCCCGACACGTGCCCAGCGGGAGAGGACCGGGTGCACAGGACGGCAGACGTGAGGCACACTGCAGGGCCGTGCGGGTGAGCCAACGCCTGCGGGGCAGGGGGGCGCGTCACAGCCACGGTGGGGGCTGCCCCCCCACACCCCCACCACCCCCTACTGCACCGCACCGGACGGACGCGGCCGACGGCCCACCCTGAGCCCCAGGGACCCTCACGGTGGCTTCCTCCCTGGGCACCCCCACCCCGATGTGTGACAGAAGGAGAAGAAGACGACACAGCGAGAGACGGCGGGTGGCCTCTGTCTGCTCCTCCACCCACCCGGCCGAGTCTCGGGACCGGGGCACCAGGGAGATGGCCGGCCGGAGCAGGCGTAGAGCCCAGGGGCATGCGCGTGAGGCCGCGCAGGGAGGCCCGCAAACACAGAAGCCCAGGCAGCCTCTCCTCACCGGCCTCCCTGGGCCCAGCAGCCCAGCCCTCGGGGACACCTGCACCCCATGTTCGCCGCAGCACGGTCACGAGAAAGGCACAAGCGAGCCCGACATCCGTCTGTGGACAGACGGATGCACAGAGGGTGGCACACACACCTGGAATATTCTTCAGCCTTGGGGGGGGGGGGGGGCTCCCCCAAGGGGGGGGGGGGTTGACGCCCCCCGGGGGGGGGGCGGGGGGGGGGGCAAGCAGGAAAGTCCCCAGACTCAGAAGCAGGGGGACGGAGGGTCGGTCAGTTTGCAAAACGAAGGGGTTCTGGGGACCGGGGACTGCCGGAGACCTGCGCCCCAGAGTGGCTGCTGGTAAATTTTTATGCGCGTTTTACCGCAGTTGTAAGAAAGGGCACCTTTGGAACACTGTCGCCGTCGGAGTGCCGGAAGCCCAGGGGCTGGGGCGGGCACCGCTCTGCCCCCCGCGCGTTCCGCGGCCCCCCCTCCCCCCTCCTCCCCTCCCCCTGTCCCCCCTCCTCCCCCCCTCCCCTCACGAAGCAGCCATCCCAGGTGGGCGGTTCAGATCCCTCACAGGGCACCGCCCACCCGCCGCCCGCAGCTCCAGGGGCCACACGGCCCGGGGCCCGCGGCTCGCGGCGTGGGGTTTGAAACGGCATCAGCGGCATCAGCGTTCGCTTACGCTCTGGCAAGATGCCACTTCCTGTTTCTGAGAGCAGGCTTGTAAAAACTGCCGTCTGCCGGACATCAAACGGCTCCCGCACAGCATCTTGATGAGTTAAGTGTAAATGAATCGGAAGCTCATGGGACTAAATTTCCCTTGAAATTCACTCTGGTTTGCAAATTAATGGAAAAAGCGCCTGGCAAAACTTGTTTAGACCTTTATTGAACCAAAAACACTTTAAAAATAGTTTGGGGAGCTCAGCGAACAAGCCCGGGCTGGGCTCCGCGTCTTGCGTGGATTTTGGGTGGATTCCACTCCATTCCCTGGGGTTTGGAGCCAGGACGCTGGGAGGGGCACCCGGCTTGTGCCGCGGCCTGGGCCTGGGGGGGGGGGGGCGGGGGGGTCCCGCGGCGGCCCCCCCCCCCCCCCCCCCCGCAGCCCCCCCCCCCCCCCAGCGGCACGGCACCGGGCCTAACAGGGAGGTCACGGAGAATCGAACAAGGGGACGAAGACGATCGGCATCCCTGTCTAAGACCGGGGATAAAAACACTCCCGTTTCGTTGCCGCTTAATTGAACAGATCCAGGAAGCCGGCCAGCTTAAGGGACGCGTTTCAATGCTGCCATTAGAAGACATTGTGACCTCACAGGTGCAAACCCAAGTATTGTCAGAAACAAAAGGCGGGAGGGTGATAAGAGCCAAGGCCGCAGGGTGAGGAAGTGGTCTCTCCTCCCTGGACGTGGCCAGAAGGACCCTCTCAGCCCGGGGCACGTGGGGCCGATAAGGCCGAGGCCCCC